TTTTTTTTGTTAAGTATTTCTCTGCAATGAGAGACAAAGAACCTACCTTTCCTTACACAAGTCTGACAGAAATAAAAATAGCCTTCCTTATATAAATAAAAACTTCCTTATAAAACAAACTTTTTTGGAAGAATTCTTACCCATTATAATGTGCAAAGTTGCAGTCACCACATGAGGGATTCCATGAAGAGAATGTGCCAATATATTAGTAGATCCTGCCAAAGCAATTTTAAAACATGTACTATCAGTGTAGCATATGTTTTAAATTAATATTTGCTCCTACATTATATAGATGTCACTATATAATGTTCAGATGGAAAATTAATGGAAGTATATAAAATCAGAAAAGTTAATAGAAAACATTAGTGGAAGCTTAAGTTTTCATTCACAGCACAGATGGACATCAAATGCAGAATTTTTTGCTGAATCTTTAAATGACTTAAAAATTATAAAATAGTTTATGGTATCTACTTACAGCTTTTTTGATCATGAATGCTTATTTTCCACCCCCAAAATGCTATCTATAGCAAAGTAACAAGGGTCAGAGCATAACTCTGACCACCTTTCATGAATGGGCTTTTATCTTCTATACTAAAATGAGCACCAACGGAAAAAGGGTGGCTCTGGAAAGCAGAGACAAATGCATAAAATAGACAACAACATCAACAAAATACAAAATCACTGTAATGATTTATTTCCAAAAGGCATGCTTTAAATTTAATGACTCAGAGATAAGCTCTACCCAAATGGGAATTTCCCCTATTATCTAACAGACAAATGATATCCTAGATGAAGAAAATATTTAATTTCATGGTATTTGAAGTAGTATAAAAATTTGTATTTGAGACATTATAATTGCTGACTTTCATAATCATTAAGATCATTTAAGCCCCACATAGATTTTTTCCGCCAGCCTACAGAGGGAAAGAGCTCCCAAAGCAAGCCTAGTAATGCTTACGTATGACTAAAATCTGGAATAAGGCATGCTCCAGAAGCAGAAAATAACAGCTAACCCCCTTCATTCTCAGAAGAGTAAAAAGGATTTTAAATTATTAGAAAGAAAATGAATTAAACTACAATTTTTCTTGAATTAAAGAATATAGAAAAGTCCAACAATAACAGAGAGCTGTGAAAGCATGGATATGGTATGTACTAGTTATCGAGGCAAAGGCTAGTCCTCTGGATTTTGTCAGTCAAAGATTTCTGTGTGGTCACATGCAATCACTTCAATTTATTTTGCTTTAAACTGATATGTGGCTGGGTTGCTTAGCTGGAGAAGTGGAGGCAGTTCAGCCATTGTCAACCAAGAAAGATGTCATTTAAATAACAATTATTAAGCATATATCTAAGCACTAATTAACAATTATTAAGCATATTTGAATTAATAATAATTATAAATATGCATAATTAAGCCAGACCTCTTGTAATAACAATACAAAGAAAAAATAAAGTTCACCTTAACCAATTGATAAACTGGTTCCAACTGATTCACCAAAAGGCAAATTATGTTCTAACCCCTGTTACTCAGAATACAACCCACAGTTGAGCAGGAATGACAACACCTGAGTGCTTAATAAAATAACAACTCTCATCAGGAATATGACAAGGATGCCCACTATCACCACTGCTATTCAAAATAGTATGGGAGGTCCCAGCCAGAACTGTTAGACA